CTCACCTAATTTAAGAGCTAACTATGTATCCTAAAGACGTCAAAATAGAATTTCGCTGCTAACAAGGGTGGAGAAAAGGTTTACGAATTAATCAATATTTTAGACCAGGGTGCGCAATAGACTTACCTCCACGTGGTGCACCCTGGGCAACGTATACGGCAAAAAAGTCTATTGATCGGCAGTTGACTTCTGACTTCAAACTACTATGGCCCGACTATTTGTCATATTCTTACCTTTTTCACATCTTTGTGTCTGTCTGTCTGTCTGTCTATCGCTTTTACATCTGTGAATCACTCTTCTGTTCCCCCTCTCGACTTATTGTCACTTTGATGTTCCTCCTCCTCTCTGTGAAGCCCCGAAGTCAGCTCCAGGGCTAATGATAACTATCAAAACGCCTGCCATTTGATATAAATAAATAAATATTTTAGACCTTTAACGCCCTTAGGACTGTACGGTCTTCCATCAAAATAAGCACCATTGGTAGTAGACTCGTAAACAGAAGACGCTTTTACCGTTTGAAACATACTCAATACGTCTATTGATTTCGTCTGATGCACCATCAAAGCTCATCATATCGGAGGCATCAGTCTGCTGTGAGACATGCGTAGGAGCGATTGGTTGTATTTTTCAAAAATCAATTCGGGCGTTCAAAGTTTAAGACAAAGCAAATCTTAGGGCCTAAGATGAGAAAATACTTTAAAACCCCCAATTTTAAAACAATATATAGAGCAAGAGAGAAAAATAGGGACTTTCCCATGGAGAACAGGAAGATTTAGGCGACCGATCTGAAAAAAAGCTCTTACATTCAAGAACAGTCTCTGACCCACACACCACGAATTTCAAAACTTTGTGAATGGCCGCCATTACATTTTAGGCTTCACCCCTTTTCCCCAAAATTTCAATTTTTCAAACCTCATGAATTCATGATCAGTCGGACAAATTTATTCTAACATATTCGACCTTGTTTCCATTGAGCCGACCTATATTATAGCTATTATTCACGTACAAGCGCACAAACAGCACCGACTGGTTTGTTATAATAGAGATTTGATTTTATTCCCCTTAGTAAAACCACATTACATTTATGATAATATTTTCCGAAAGGTAAGAGTAGGGATTTACTCAAAACAATGATCACCTACTTGAATTTAGCGCAGCTTGAGTAGAAACCGCTGCTAATATCTAAGCGACAATCCAATGATACTAGACCCAAACGACAAATAGGCTTGATTACTTGCAATAATTACAGCGCACTCAATGGCTCCCTGCTTTAAATTAACAATTATGAACAAAGTAGGTCGCGATCCCGACCATTCAACTGAACGGAATTTAATGGCACCGAATTCTTCCTTCAAATGCGCGCTCAAAGCAAAGTTGTTAAATGCCAGTAACTTAACCACCTTAAGCGCACAACATCACTAGACACAAAAGGCTCACCATTAGAGGAAGCGGAAACTTGCAGCTCTTTACGACACTTCTCCTCCTTCGCCTCCTCCTCCTCCTCCTCCTCGGCCGACGGTTTGGCGGTGGCAGCGGCAATGCTGTTGGGACCAACAGTCCGTTGTTGACACCTAGCTCGCAGATTCATTAAACGCAGAATTTCTCGCTTCCGAATCTGATATTTCAACTCAATTCGACGACGATAGTCTGCTTCCTCGCGATTGAGTATATCCATAAATGTTCGCAGCTGAGCCTCGGAGAAACACGACCACTGAAATTGGCGAGAAAGTCAATAGAGCAGAAAGTTGGAGGCATGCATGTTCAAAAATTGTTGCATTTGATTTTACTTTATCAACGGTTCAAAAAAACGTGTATTGAAATCACCATCTAGTTAAAACATCGAGCCAAATCCCCTTAATGCAATCATGATTCTATGGGCACTAAAGTTCCACCTGTAAAAAAGCTTTATTTAGGCGACCAAAAAATTGCCATTATTTACTCTAAAACTGGCACGAATACCGTTATGAAATGTGCAATAAAAACGGGTATTTGTGCCTATTAAATTTGGTAAAAAAGTGCACAAAAAAGTCGGATAAACGAATGCGAACGCGTGTAGCATAAACAAGCCTCCTGTTTAGAACCCCCCAAACGAGAGGACTGTGCAAATAATCTAAAATACGATAGCGGGAAGAAGAAAGATGCGTGATAGACTGCATATAGCCTTTGAACACGATCGGAGTAATGGAATATTATTAATATATTAAAAAGGCACAATAAAAGTATTAGAGGTGAGAATAGGGTAAGTGGAAGGTCGACAATATGAAAAGACTTATGCTAATTTTTGAGGTCGATTCGGCCGAAGACAGACGGAGACAAAGGGAGCTCGGAATCACCTAAATTTTTTTTTAAGAATACAATTAAGTTGGAGCCAGCACACTGTTCAATCGTACTACTTAGAAATAATGGACTTGTTAACATGGAAACCTATCGCCTTTAAACAAAAGTTCTTGGAGGGGGAACACTTGGACGTGGCGTTGACACCAGTGACGAAATTGTTATTAGACGAAAAACTGAGGCAATAATGATAATGGAGGTTAATTTGTCATTTTACCAATTAGATTTCACGAATCTGATGGTCTTTGGGTGATCAGAAAGACTAACTTAATAGAGTTATAATGATAAGTAGAGGGATGACAGAAATGCGGCTTATTATTATTTGAAATATCACTCATTTACCGATCCTAGCGATAATTGTCTACTTAAAAATGTTGAATCAGCTTATCTGAATTACTTGGAGATCACATAGTGGAACAACACTTGAGTCTCATGATTATTTCACATCTGTGCTAGGAACAAATCGCTGCATGAAACAGGTCGGTTTACCTCAATGTCGCCAGTTTCATTTTCCTGCAGCACAATCCGTTTGACGCCGAGGAGTTCATTGAAATGCTCAATATGCATATCTTCACCGGCTTTGCCACCGACTTCCACAGAAGAATCTAGCGTCCATTGCATCATTAGGCCCAGTGGTGATTCGTCATCAAAAAGCTTGCGTACCGAGACTATACACAAGGAAAGGATAAGCATATGAATGATTAGGTTCTAATGTAATGAAGTCGGATCAAATATGCCAAGACTATCATGTTACATCGAAAAAGGAATTCGCGAGAAAAGAAAAAAGTTAACTAAAGACAAAAGATTCAGTCACGTATATTAGTAATAAAAACGCGAACCAGAGGAATGCGGACAAGAGAAAATGCATTTTACGAACGGAGCCCGTACGTGTATGTGGGTTAGTGAAGTTACCTGCAGCCATTTGGCACGCAAACGCGATCTGAGAAAAAAGTCACAGATTCTTATCTCATCGCTCGTTAGGCTCTCAGCCACCAGAAAGTGAAATTTTAGAACCTGACAGAGGATAAATAAAAATGACCAATTTAAACATCAATTTATTTATTTATTTACTAAAAATACTCCACTTTACATAACAGGTTGGAAAAGAAATTACCTAAGGCGTTCCACCTTTAGGTCTTGGAGTAAAGACGCTTCAATAAGGAGCCAAATCAATGAATAATTCTTAGTAAACACGCAAAATCACCACAGCCCAGTACCCTGTCAATATTTACAGGTACCCAAATTTGTTAATACCTGCCAACTATCGACACACACACTAAATTCCAAATCCACATTTCTGGAGAGTAGAGCAGGTGAGAGATGTCTGCTCCAGAGCATTTCCAAATTCATGCATTTAATCGGCAAGAACTGTGATTGGAAAATACAGCACCAGTAATGAAGTTCCAAGAAGTTCAAGAGACTACAACTCTAAGGTACAATTGATTTATTACTGCTACCCACATTAAGCACAAAAAGAATTATCCTTTTTAATTGCCGGAAGCAAATTGAAATCGATTAGTTGAATGCCCACCAAATGGTAAAATAGAAGGCAAATTAATTGATTAATTAATTTGATTTTTTCCGGGAATAGATCACCTTCTCGAATACTTTACATAAGTAAACCATAGCTCAACTAATAATTTAGCTGCAAACTCGACCATGGATTAAACCTTTACCGTCTGAATCATTTTTCCGAAAATTGTCACCCAACCGCACTCATACGTGTTTCACAGCAGACTGATGCCCCCGATGTGATGAGTTTTGATGGTGCATCAGACGAAGACAGTAGACGTATTGAACATGCTTCAAACGGTGGTAGCGCCTTCTGTTTACAAGTCTAATACCAATGGAGCTTTTTTTGAGAAAGAGGACCACACAGTCCCCTAAGGGCGTTAAAGGGTTAAATGAAAGCAATGACAAGTCAAAGAATTTTCTTTCTAAATAGCAATATCTCAAATCAGAATTCAAGAAACATTAAAATAATGAATAATTCTCTTTATCTTAGAAGTCAGTTGACTAAGCAGAACCCACATTATCCATCAGACCGATGAAAGAAAATGCCAATTAAGGTGGAGAACGAGGACAAGATAGCTAATTTAATAAGCAACGCCCACCATGTAGACTAGGGCACAGGAGAACACACAGATATTTGCCAAGTATTGACAATGCGGACTATAGCTAAATTTAACTGTAATCATGTTAGAAATTCACATAGAGATTAGGGAAACTAACTTCCACTCACCCCAGCCCCCTTCCTTTCAGCAATATAAATACCATTGAATAAGAATACTGGACAAAAATAACGTTATATCCACGAGGTAAATCACACTACCTATTGAACTGACAAGGAGTGTCAAAGATAGTAACTGCATCATGTGGTGAACTTGGTACTGGTGTGGCGCCGCTTATTGTATTTGCAGCGATTGCCTGCCTTGATATAAGCACTTTTTTACTCTGTATTACACAGAGAATGCCACTGAAATTTCTCTCTGATTTTGCCACGGAAGCAGAACTACCCCTTCCCCCCCCTCCCACCCCCACCAACAGAACCTTTGCATCAAAATTGAGCAGAAGATGTATTAGACCACTCTAGAGTCCGCTAAGTTGGCAATTTAGGGGCCTGGGAATTAGAAATTGTCAACATTTCAGATCCCCGCTAGAACGTAGGTGCATGTGATAAACTATAAAAAAGGAGACCAAGGCACCCAACAGCAGAATCACTCTCATAGAAAATTGAAAACGTGAGCTGCAGTTTATATGCACCCAAGGCCACAGTGACGCATGCAGGAGGTGGGGGGGGGGGGGGGGGGGGGGGGGGGGGGCGNGGGGGGGGGGGGGGGGGGGGGGGAGGGGGTAGGCGCGCGTATGCACAGTGAACTGAAAACAAGGCTGCACGCTGGCTAAATGTCTTAGCAAACAGATAAGCTGCTTTATTTACCTTCATTTTCACCATAGATGGTATGCTCGTAGAGGGCGAATTTCTGAGGATTGTCGTCGATGCTAAAACGGGAGAGCAGGCTTCGAATCACCTGGTTGGCCGTCGTAGATCTAAACCAAAGGAGAGAGAGGAAAGCAATTGAGAGCGCGAAAATGATTATGAAAAAGAAACGCGATTTGCGAGAGAGCTAGTTAACCTCCAGACGGTCGCCTTTCATTTTTCCAAATACGGCAGAAAGTGTCCAATATTCAGTATGAAATTGATAGGTTGTCTGGTCGACGTACACAAGTAATTAAGCAAACATAATTTACCACAGAGTTTGAATTAGAGTCCTGCCGAAGAGCATGCAACATGATGGAGCAACCGTAAATTTTCCAAAATTCAATCAACACTACTTTAATCCAAACACTTTACTACCCCAGAATACTACCATGAAAAAATCCATCCAACTTCTGAAGTTGGGAAACAAAAGGAGATCTAATTGGGATTCAAAATGACCCATTTTGAGAATCTGACGGAGATACCATATGGCCATCCATTTTATTGGTCAAAAATATTACCCTAAAGCAGTGATAAAACAATTTTTCAAAATAATTTAAAAGCTTAGAAAATACTAATCACGACAACCGATTTCAAACACTACACAAACTATAAAGGCCCTCATTTGTATTTAACCTATCAAGCCAATGAACAAATACTTAGCTTAGCGGTTAAATTCGATTGGCCAATTGTCAAAATTAATTAAAGATTGTCGTAAACGCAAAGTCACTAATGAAATGAGAGACGAATCGACAGATTTGAGCATTGGAGAAGGGAGCGGAGGAAGATAAGCGTGAGATGATGAACGCATAACCTAATTCACCCAATCAAGTTTCCAAAGACTTTTATTGACAATCTGATTTTGTGTTCTACTTCGATTCGATCCTTAGACAGCTTTTCAAAGATCCCCTCTCCATCTAAATTCGCTATGTACCTCTGTCAACAATAAATCCACCAAGTTCATTGCAAAGCCGATGAAATTAGAAAAATTCGAGACTCTTCCACCCAGTCAAACAAGGCCTAATAGCAAAAGCTGCATTAATCACTTAAAGAACACGGAAGAGGGGTGATGATTTATACTGTTTGCAATTACTGCTATATTTAAGAAAAATTTTAGAAAGCCGACGGGGAAATGTAGTATATCGGTGTGAGAAGATGGAAATAAGTCAAAGACACACAAACAAAAAAAATTTGACTGAAAGTGAGGCACAGCGCACAACAGTAGCTATCACGGACTAAGAAACAGAAATTTCTGAATTCTAAGGGGCAATCTAAGTTGGTTGGCATTCAGGTTTGTAAGAGAATAAGGTAGAAGGTGTGCTTAAAGGACAACAGCAACTTCAGTAGATCAAGTCGTGAAAGTAACTTTGATTAAACAAAGCGACAAAGAAATAGGTGCATGCCAAATGTCGAAAAATAAACACCCGTCACCTAAAATTTATGGATTTCAAAAAAAGGCAAACCTGTCTAAACTTAACCATATCAAAACATTATTTAGACCTAAAAGTAGAACGCTAGCACTAAATAAAGGCAGAGTCCGAAACTTACAGACGAACATGAAGAAGTTTAGAACTGCCACGGGGTAGACGGAAGGATGTAACGCGACCGTCAACAGACTTGTTACGCATCCGGACTGTGTTATCAGAGGGCCCCTCACTTTCCGCCTGTTTCACAGCTGTCTCTACGGGCTTCTCAGTATCGTCCGAATCGCTGTCACTGCCACCACCGACAATGTTGAAAATCGATGCCGGCCGATCGGTAAGAACCATGCGAATTGGACGGATCAGATTGATGTGGAGACGAATCTGCCCCTCACAATCTCCCGAAGGTAACTTTGGAGTCTGAAACAAGGGAAGAGGGGGACAAAATTTAAGTGGCAATAGGCGAAACTCACAACGTTGCATGAATGCTGATTGCATTGGATATATTAAAACGTTGAGAAGTTATTGAGGAGAAAGCACCTCAGAATCTCAAAGATATGGGTAAAGAAGGCGTAGATATGGAACAAATTTTAGATAAAAATTATCGGCTCACTTCTCTACAGGTTAATCAAACACCTAAAAAAGGCACCACAAAACCGTGGTTAAATCCAAACTAACTTTTTGAAATTGTGCAAACAATTTATTTATATCAAATGGTAGGCTTTATGATAGTTATCGTTACCCCTTTAGTTGACTTCAGGCTTCATAGAGGGAGAGGAACATCAAAGCGAAAAAAGTCGAAAGAGGGGGGGGGGGACAGAAGAGTGCTTTAAAAAATGTAAAAGAGACAGACACAAAGGTAGATGAAAGGTGAGGTGAGTACGGTTGAAGTAGCCGAATTTGACATACAGTGGGGTGATGGTAGTTTGAAGTCAGAAGTCAACTACTGGTTTATAGACTTTTTTGACGCATGAGTAAACGTTGCCCAGGGTGCACCACGTGGAGGTAAGTCTATCGCACACCTCGTGCAAAAAAAATACTAGTATACGTTTATAGCGTACTCATCGGCAGTAAGTTCAGCTGAAGAGTCCTGTGGACTTAACATCTTAGCTATTTCCTAATGAATTTCATAAAATGGTAAGTTGCCGAAAATTATCAAAGTGGCAAGACCGGCCCAACAAGATTAAACATCTCGTCATTAAGCACTTATCACCATATACCGGCAGTATTTGTTGCAATCCATTGAACGACAACTGTGATTTGGACTCTGGGATGCAAACTACCCCATATGCTAATGATTGTACAACCCGAACACAAAAAAATCAAATGAAGTAAACGTCTTTCAGGTGTAGCTTTTCGAGAGTCTTTATTGATTGATATTACCTACTCCTCCCAATTAAAGAGAGGAAACATTTTACTACTGTGGGTAATAAAAGTGATAATAACAAGGGCATTCTGGCTTCAAATCAAAGAATAAAATTCACAAAAGGCTAATTTTACTACCATTTGCTCAACAAGCAATAATAAGCTAAATGAAGAGGGGATGATCTTGAGGGTGGACTGCTAACAAGAACAAATAAAGGTGTAAAGCTTTTATACCGAAAATAGAACAATTTAAAGAGGCCTGAAAAATATCCAGTACAGTCTGGCGAGATACCACCACGTGATGAAGAAATAAGAACGCAAAAAACAATGGAATTTAAACTTAAACTGCCGATGATAGATTGAAAGGAATGCGGAAGATGCTTAAAGGAGTTGCAACGAGGAGTGGGAAGAATTTAACTTGGTAGTCTTGCTGAAACTAGCAATTTTCAACAGGCATAGCTTCTGATTTGGTAAATTTTAGCGCATTGAAAGAGGTAAAAGTCAATGTCACCGAATAGGTGAATAGAATACAGAAAATTGACAGATATTAAATGCACCCCAAAATGTCCAAACGAATTGTACAGGCAATAACGAGGCAGGAAAATGAGGGGAGTCAGTAATTAAAAAAAACTTTATTAAGGTACTACATCTAGAGACTAGAAAAAGAAGGAAATAAGAAAAAGCTATGGAGAATAATTGTCATAAGGGCACATACATTTAATGACGGTTTTTATCAATCTTAACGCCCACTTTAAAAGAAGCATGCCAATTAAGAAAAGTAATTGAAGGCCACTTTAAGTAATTAATTAGCTTATTTGCGGGAAAGAAAATCCACTGAGAACATGAATGAGGCGACAAATTTGAAAAGGGCTAGAAATGGACGAAAACAAAGACCATAATAACTAGCAGGAACAAAAAAATATAAATGGTAGGGATTCGGGTTGGGGCTGGGGGGCTAATAAATATTGTAAGAAGTGGCTTGAATCAAAATGAAGGATTGAATAAATTTAAATTCATAAAACTATACTGAATGCAAGGCGGATAATACGGTGAATAGAAGAGCCAAAAGCAAAAGCTAACCATGCATTTAGAAAACTGGAATTCTATCAAATTGGAGTGAAAATGACCTATTCACCCTTTTACAGAACTAGCATATAAAATAGAAGCATGTAAGTCTCCATCTACTAGAGCATATCAATCAATATGCTGTAGCAGACCTTAAAATAGATGAAAATTTCACAAAAATCGCGCTCACCATTTTAGCATACAGCCCAAAATTATTTCCATTGAATATCTCCAGTCTCTTCGCCAATTCCATAGGTTTCCAAGGCAGCACAGCGTTTCTCGGTCCAATTGTCACCTTGGTGTAAATGATCTCACCAGCCCCAGTCTGATTTCCAGTCAAAGCGGCAGCCGCAGTCGATTGCATCCTACTACTCATCACCACCGAGGTGGGATGAGTTTCTGCATTGACCTCGATCTCCGGAGGAGTACTAATTCCTTCAGCAGGACTCAGCTGCCATACAGAGAGACCTCGCTCTCGAAGATCCCTCTGATCAAGACTGCTGACATCATAGGCATCGATTGAGTGAGTGGAAACAGAAAGAAGACTGATGTCTGTGGTATGACGTCGTGATGACGAAGTGGAGGAGAGGTGGTTACGGTGTCGGCGGCGAGATTGCACCATCGACTTGTGGCGGGTTGCTTTGCTTCCTACACTCTCCTCTGATGTATCTTCTTTAATTTCTTCTAAAGTCTCATCAAACTTCAGACTGGTATCAGCTAAAGGTAGAAATAAGAGTGGAAAAATAGCAACATTTTAAGGCCCAGGATGATAGACATCAGTAGGGGCGTACATCGACACTAGTCAACTGTCCACTGGCGAAATCATAAAGAGGGCAAATATTTGCTCCCACATAACGAATTTACAGGAAAAGCAAGGACATTTGTTTACGCATAGCAAAAGAGAGCTGAGGTACAGAAATAGGAGCTATAGAAGTACTCTCAAAATTCGTTATCGAAGTGGCTTTCGGCGCTGAAAAAAAAACCATTCGACTAGAACTTCCTACTGCTAAGTGGAACCTAGGGAAAGACGCTGATAAGCGAATGCCACAGCTAATAAATAACCAGGGGATCTTCATAATGTGGGGGGGGGGGGGGGGGGGGGAGGAGGGATTAGGCAAAGTTTTAATTTATACATACTTTACAAGAGCTTTCTATAAACCAGGAATGCCTAACCTGGCGAGGAAAGACACGTCTCAATTAAATCACAGGTCAGAGTTACAAATTCTACTCTTAACACTAGTAGATAAGTGGACAAGCGTTAGGGAACACACTCTCTTTAAACGAGTCTAACGACAATCGAGATTTGAATGGGATAATAAAACAGCAAGGAAGGCAAAAGGTGAAAATACTTTGTCTAAGGAGTAAATAGAGGGAGAGAAGGTTACAGTGAATCTACAAAATGGCACAAATTCAAGCAAGCCCAGGATTAGGACTTTGTAATTGAACAGATATGAGCATTAAGTGGCCAAATCTACCCCCCCCCACAGTTGTAACTTCACTTCACCATTTGATTAGATACACATATTTTGCCAGTTGGGGGGGGGGGGGGGGAATAGACTGGTGGAAGGGCTTTAATCAACAGGAGTAAATAAGAACATCTGTCTGGTAAATCAACTTATGGAGCGGAGTCTTAATTTCAAGAGATGAAACCACAAATTGTGCCCACAGTGATTAATTATGATTCAGAGGACAATTTCAAGAACCTAACGAGGGAGTCATTAAATTCTCTCCTCACACTCCATTATAGGGTCAATCCTCATTGATTATACTTGTATATAGGGGTGTGCGATAGACTTACCTCCACGTGGTGCACCCTGGGCAACGTATACTCATACGGCAAAAAAGTCTATTAAACGGCAGTTGACTTCTCACTTCAAACTACCATCACCCCCATTGCATGTCATAGTCGACCCCTACCAGAGTACTCATCTTACCCTTTCTGAGCCTTTGTGTCTGCCTGTTTCTTTTACATCTGTAAATCACTCTTCTATTCCCCCTCTTGAATTCTTCTCACTTTGAAGTTCCTCCTACCATCTGTGAAGCCCAAAGTCAACTAAAGGGCTAATGATAAGTATCAAAATGCCTGCCATTTGTTATAAATAAATAAATATTTGTATATAAAATGGTCTTCAATTGAGGAAAAAATTGAAGTTTGGTAAATTGCATTACAACTGTTTAGGCATATTCACACATTTATACGCGATCAGTTTCGATGCTATTGCGCCAAGCTTTGGCACTTTTACGAAATGTTTTAGTAGAAAAAAGAGAGCAAAGTTGTAACCCCAATCAGTCAGTTGTAAATTCTAAAACTTTTAGCACTTATAGTAAAATTCAACGACTTGAAAGACAGGAAAGAAAGCAAAATACAAGATCACGTTGTTTTTGGTGAAAACTTGAACCATGAACGGTGCCGCGTAAGCCACACTAATTCACACAAACAATAAGAAGGCGAATCATTATTTGATGACAGCAAAGGAAAGGAGATGCTCATTAAAATATTCATTTAGTTATGTTAATATTATTAACAACTTAAACAAATAAAAGACTGAAAGGCTAGTACCTGGTCTAAATCGGGCTCTATGCGCATAAGTACCAAAATAACGCGAAAAGCCTTACGTGAGCAAAAGAGGCTAAATTGGGATTGAGGACGCAGAGTGGGAGGTAGTTCACCGTTCGGAGGCTGTTGTGACTCAAATTTGGGGTGGAAAGGGGTCGACGTACACTGGGGATCCAGGTCCTCACCTTCTCCCATCGATACTGCACGTTCTGTTGTCGGTGGCTCATTCGGTCGCAACACGCTCTACAAAAGGGGCAAATGGAATTCATACTATACTTCTATAATGCCAACCCACCCCCCGGGAGGGAACAATTACTTTAACAATTATCCATATTGTCAGAAAAATCAGATAGTATGGGGCAATCACGAAAGACAACAGAGTGTCTTAAAAGCGCTTGCATTAAAAAAAGAGCATCAATCTGGGTTCGTTGATGGTCAAAGGGATAGTCCCCATACACACAGTGTTCAAGACTATTCTTGAATGAACGATAGGGTCTGGATTATGGAAACTTTTGCAATAAAATTAATCATATATGAGTTTTATTAAAATTTGAATGTGTCGAGATTATTAAATAAAAACCACATCGACCTATTGAACACAAAAGATATACACTAACGGATACTCATTTTGTTCAAGTGGACAAAACAGAATTGCCATAGGGGGAACACCTTCGAACAAACCAGCTCCAAGTCATTCTCATTAGGAAATTCATATTCAATCATTTCTCTGTCAGCATCTGTCAACGGAACGTTGTCATCATTTCAGCTCCAAGATACGAATAAACCCGTTTCAAACATCCTGAATTTGATGAAGACATAACCACACACCACATCATAAAAGATGGGAAGTTAAAGGCCTAAACTCCCCTTTTGTGACAAGAACAAAGTTTAAAATGGCTTAATGATATTCGCACAAATTATTACTGACCTGTGACAAAGCTTTTGTTGAAGCTGGTGCCGGTGTCCCACACCTCTCCTCCTCTTCTTCGAGAGTCTTGATAAGACCACTTTTAGCAACAGCATTGTCCCCTTCAACTTCACAGTCACCGTAAGTGTGTGCTGAAGGAGAATTGACCTCACAGGGTATGGTGACTTTGTCAGCGCAGAGCCAGTGGCATGTCATAAGGCACCCTGAAAGGTAAACACATTCAACATTCACCTTTAAATTAAAAAAAAGAGAACAAGTTTAAAAAAGTAAAATTCGGTCGCAAAGATATTCGAAAAGATGGGTAGCAGAGATGTTATCGGAGTCAATGACAAGATAAGAGCTGCTCTTTCAACTAACGAATTGCCTATTCCAACCATCTAATTAGTTGCATAAGCGTTCTCATTGTAATTGCAACCTCTGGACTGAAAGGACTTACAGGGAGCACCATCTTTGACTGGGGCGAATTTTAAATTCAGGATTGCCGGTGTAGAAGCAAGTCTCTAAATCATCATTAGGTACATTCTGGAAATGAAAAGTTTCCAATGACCCAACTCATCATTAGGCCGCAGCTAGAAAACAATTAGTTCACTCTCTAACATGGTCTAAAAAAGCGGATCAGATTTGAAACAAAATAAAAAATAACGTGGCAAGATCAGGGACTACGCCAATTAAACAGAAAGCACAGGAAGACTGGAAAGATAAGTTTACGATTTCAACAGAGCTTCAGAGGAAATTGAGTAGGACAAATAAATTGAACTAATATAGCACACTAAAATGTCCCACTTTCTAGCAGTAAGCATTATATATGAAATCAATGGACACGTTGAATCAAACCAAAGTAAAATAAAAAAGAATAAAAAATTTATTCAATTTTGCAGAAACCAATGGCAATAGAAGTCAACTGGCACCATAAGTGCTAGGGAATAAGGCGAAAATGTCAGTAATTAGTTCTACGCACGAATCATAGCCCGAAATTCTAGACTTAAGAATTTTATAATCGACCGTATAGCGAATAAAAATTTACGTAAGCCAGAAATTAAAAAAAAACAAATCAAAGAATAGAATAGAATCAGCATACTAACCTGCACATCTTCGACAAACAGGGCCCCAACCGAGACCCCAAATTGGCTGATTACAGTAATCACAGAAAGTATCCAGTTCCAAGGGGATAGCACAAAAGGAGTGTTGACTAGGGCCACAACGTGCTTCGCGTGGTAGAGCTTCGCCGTAACCACCGGAGAGCTTGTCTAACCGAATAAGCTCGGCACGAACAGGTTCGGGTGTTTCTGAGTAGGCGGAAAAACGACGCTGATCATATTGTCGCAAAACATCAGTATCAATGGACGTCGGAATGAGGCGTTCTGTCACAAGGATTTGACCATCAAATTCATTTGTACCAGTGGACTGTGTAATTCGAGGAAGGGTCATATTCTTCCGGTGGATAGATTCCTTTCTTGCTGGAAGAGTGGACTGCGGATGGCGAAGAAAATTGGCAAAAGTGCGGCGCAAACCTCCGAGAAGCCCAGGCTGTTTCTTTAGAGTAGAACCAGATGTTGGATTGTCAGATATATTCATTTGGAAATGATTGTAAACATTAGCTAGAAGAAAACAAAGAGAAAATAATTAAAACCGACAACAAGGATTTAGATATAGGAACAAAAAGTCATCGAAGCCAATATTTAAATAGCAGTAATAAAATTTGACTCTCAAATTAATTTACAAAAAATTTGAGTATAAGAAGGAAAACAACTGAATAAGATGTTAAATTATACAACAGTAATTTAAAATGGACATTTTACTTACCAAAATAGCAAGCTTTTAGAAATTGTCCACACCGCCAATATATAGGGGATGGGGAAAGATCACAAGGTCAAGAATATTAAACTTAGAAAAACTATTTAAAAATAAAAAACATATACATTTATGTGCTTTATATACATCATTTAGGCTCAATATGATTTAATCATATTTTAATACCTCATTGAAATAAATTGAAGATTCAAATCCAGTGGAATAAATTGAATTTTACAACTGAGAGAAATTGACACTTTATACGTTATAGTCAAGAAATGAATAAATATTATAGGGTTTAAAATTGTGTTGTTGGCATTACCAATACCTCAAAAAAGGTCTGATTAAATGTTACTAATTAGTTAAAGGGCTTACCATTCATGTTGTGGTGCACGCATTCCTCACGTGATCAAACTCGAACGTCCTGGAGGGCCACCCAGATAGTTAGCTGTAAGTTTTCATTCAAATTATGTCCAATTAAGTGGTCACTAATCATGTTTATTGGTCTCATAATTTCAACAAAAGCTTCACTCTCAATAAGTTTTCTTACTCTAATTATTTAAAGTCCTGAAGCCTGTACCTACTAGGATGCTTTGCCAGAGATTATTGAAAATAAGTGGAGGCTTATATGTGTACTTATCCTCCACAACGTGTTTTGCGTATTAGAGTTAAATCCCACAATTTGAAATAATTTATCTGAAGACAAAATTTGACAAAATGAATTTAATGCGTACAAACATATGAAATCATTTTGAGTAATAACGACACGTCCACAATCCTAAAGAATTTTCATTTGGATTTATTTTGAAACCCTTTGGAAAACTCAATTTTTCCGAAAATGAATATCGAATTTAAATTAGTCAGTCAAAAATATTTGACCCTAAGCCGTATTTTAAAGCCAATGCTAGCAAAATATAAAAAAATCTAAAAGAGATCTAACAATACATTTGATAATTTGTGGATATGTATACATGATGAATGGGGCTTGTTAAGAAATTCCCAATACATTTTACTAAAAGCTCTTTAGCTTTAAAATTATTTACTCATCTCAGAACTCAATATGGACATAGACCCGTTAAATGCAGGCTTTATTTTAACATTATACAAATTTAACGAAACCGTCTTTCAGTATATTTAAACGAACATTTAAATTTTATAAATAGTTAAAAGTGAACTTTAATTTTTTTTCTTGGATGAGGTTTTCATTTTATCAAGTCTTCGAAAGAAACATATTTTAAGCTTTGGATACTCTTTGGACTTTTTTTGGCATTTTTCTGAGACTTTCGGTGTAACCGCTGCGTCTTAAATTGTTCTGTTTCTGTGGCGTTTTGAGGATCTAAGTCGGAGATAGATAACATGGGTCTAGACAGATCTTATTCCAATTTGCTTTCGTTTGGGACGTTAAGTATGTGTACAGAGAACGGAGATGTTTGTTAGAGCGCAAACAGATTTGGACATAAACATGTGGCATCGTCAGTTATCTATACTTTAAAAGTTTAAGAATCCGTTTCATTCTCTCCTCCTTGTGTAATATGAGAAGCTCTTCCTGTCAATTGTTGAAGTAAGTGGTAAATGGATTTTAAGACTTGACAAAAGTCCTCAAATCCGTAAGAGATCTGGGTAATATTTCGCTATGTTTTAATATTTTGTGCCACCTAATTAACGAATGCCAATGTTGGTAACGGTTAGGCTGGACGTAGTGGGCATAACCTCAGGTCACGGTGACCATGAGTCAAAAAATTTTGATAAGAGGTTGCTTCGATAGGTCAAGCGGGACTGGTATCAGTGTGAGACCCCAGAACTTTAGTTTGAGAGCAAATAAAATAACTTGGAAAGAAATGAGTGCAATCACTTGTTCAGCTCCCCATACTTTCCCTGCAATCACTTACGATACTATTTCGTTGGAGTGAGAAATAGGTTTGGGTGTTCCAATCCACCGGTGCAACATGTAACTTAGCACAGTAACGGAGCATGAACTATAACTTAGTGTGATTACACTGACTAGAAAATTTTGTGAACTTGATCCAAGTGGACAATCCAAGGGTTCTGGGGGGG